ATCCCTCCCTTATTTCCCCCCAACTGACCCCAGTGTGTAGTGCTCCCCTCCCTGTGTCCATGTGTTCTCATTGTTCAACACCCGCCTATGAGTGAGAACATGCGGTGTTTGATCTTCTGCTCTTCTGTCAGTTTGCTGAGAATGATGTTTTTGCAGTTACTTTTTGCAATCACTCTTGTACCAACCGAATAGATAAAGTGGCTGTTTGTGGGGGTGAGAGGGTGTGGCTTTTCCCTCTGTTTATAACTTTGTATGAAGAAACACCTCTTTTGAATTAGGGACTTCTTGGGAGCTGTCGTTGTTTAACCTGAACATTTGAGCTGTATTACCATTCTTCTTAATCGGGAAATGTAGATGCAGTTTATTAAATCTTGCTAATGCTGTGCTTACCTGTTTTGAAAATAGTGAACTGTAGTTCTGATTGAAGTTTTTGCTTTATCTATAAAACCAGACCTTTTTGGTCGTGTTTAACAACTACTACATCTACCTCCTAGGCAGTAAATAAATGTCCTTGGAAGTTGTTTAATTATTTGTATGTGCCACTTTCTTCCATAATTTGTTTTCCTGCAGATGGAACTCCCAAAATTATTTCTGCCTTTAGTGAAAAGGTGGTGAGTCCAGCAGAGCCGGTGTCCCTCATGTGCAACGTGAAGGGGACACCTTTGCCCACGATCACTTGGACACTGGACGACGACCCGATTCTCAAGGGTGGCAGTCACCGCATCAGCCAGATGATCACGTCGGAGGGGAACGTGGTCAGCTACCTGAACATCTCCAGCTCCCAGGTCCGGGACGGGGGAGTCTACCGCTGCACTGCCAACAACTCGGCGGGAGTCGTCCTGTACCAGGCTCGAATAAACGTAAGAGGTGCTTGTCAAATCAGCTCCTCAAAAAAACACACATAACTCATTGTAGCGGAGAAGAAGGTTTCTGCATGCACCGAGCTGGGTCTTGGAATGCCAGAGCGGATTAACTGCTGCTTCCCATTTCCTACCGTCTCCTTCCTACTCTGGAATGGCACTGACTGGTTCATGTTGGAAATGGCATTTTGGTTTCTGTAGTCAGCTTGTTCTTTTTTACCCTAGATCTGTTCAGCAGATGTTTCCTTTCCTGGTTTATGCTCTGCATGCCCTTTCCTTTCTCCTTCTCTTTGGTTCTTCCACATTCATGGTAAACCTTCATGTACATGGTATTAAACTTACATTCATGCTGCAACGTGGTGTAACCTCCATCGTCATCCCAGATTTTATAGAGAGATTAAACAATTGATCAGTTGCTGCCAGTGTTTTCACCAAAAGTGCATGATTGTCCAGTGTAGACTAGTCACTTTCCATTAATTAAATTGCCTTTTAGTTTGTAATTCAGAACATTTTCATAGAAATAGCTGATAAAGTAACACTTATTCATTTGAATTAAAGAAAAGGAAAGAAAACGCTTCTTTGTAGAAAATGCCACATGCAAAAATATTTTTTTAACTGAAAAAGATGTGCTTCCATGAATAAAATCTACATTTTTAACTCAAGGAAAAGTGTACCCATTTCCCCACGTGAAATGTACCCTTAAATTATTTTCAAGAGTTTCTCTGTGTCTCTCCAGGGCCTGCAAGTATTCGACCAATGAAAAACATCACAGCAATAGCTGGACGGGACACATACATTCACTGTCGTGTGATTGGTTATCCGTATTACTCCATTAAGTGGTACAAGAACTCGAACCTGCTTCCTTTTAACCACCGCCAAGTGGCATTTGAGAACAATGGAACTCTTAAACTTTCAGATGTGCAAAAGGAAGTGGACGAGGGGGAGTACACGTGCAACGTGTTGGTTCAACCACAACTCTCCACCAGCCAGAGCGTCCATGTGACCGTGAAAGGTAAGCCCTGTTCTCCCGGTTCCCACACAACTCACTCCACAGCCCAACTACTTCCCAGACCAACGAGTGGGTGTCAGCTAATCTAAGATCTGCTTATTTAGAGCAGGACAGTTGTACGGGCTGGAGAATGATGGGGAACCTGAAATGGCCTCTTTACTACTGACTGAACCTTCACAGGACCTGTAGTTGATCTAATTTTCTCTCCAGGTGGAATTTTGGCTTGGTTTTCCAGAGGACATGTGTTGTTAACATTACAGCCGAAGAAAAGGAGCACATCATTGGCTTGGTTATTTAGTTATCTGTGAGATAATTTAAAAATAGATAATTTTCTTTTCCTTAAACCTCCTAAAAGCAAGTTCTCTTAGAACTTAATTGGAAGGGATTTTCTGTATTGGATGAGGATTTCAAACAAACGTCTTATCTTCAGTAGATGCGCAGGTCAAAGCAACAACATAGAAATTATATGTTTAAAGGATGCCACAGAACGTTTTCTTTATTAAATTATTCTTTACATCATGACATGGACTCTCATGGAATCTACCTGTCAGGATGATTTCTAGAGATCTTGCAATTCAACTGCAATCTCCTTACCAGAAAAGACAGTAAGGTGATCAGACTCATCCAGGGATACAGCTTTGTAGTGGCAGGCCCTTAGAAAAACTTATTTCTCCTATTCTCCAAGTCAGTTTCCTGAGCGGAATATGAGATAAAATTGTTTTAATTATGTAAAGAATCTACATGAGGTAGGTCCTAAGAATCGAACTAATATTTTATAAAAGTACTTCCACAACCTGTGGATGTTGCTTCTAGCCACACTGAGCCACCTGCCTGAGCTGCCCAAGCTATCTTGGCAGGCACCAATAATTGTCTTTTAGTTGCCCTTGTTACAAAGTTGCATAGGTTTCCTGTGGTCTTCCCCAACCTTTTTTTCCCACCAACCCTGTGAGTTTTACTTTTTTGAGAACTCCTACAAACACACACACACACATGAAAATAATAATATACATGTTATTATGGGGCATATATTGCATTACATTATATATTATAGAATATGTATTGTGTATTGTATATCAGATATGCCTGCACATAATTATAAATCCATTTTCAGTAACTACATATCTTGAGCATTTCCTCAACTCACTAGACATTCTTGGTAAATCAGGCTGGTGAGAGCTGCATAAAGGTTCATTTTGTGATTGTGTTTATTTCTTTAATCCTCATTTACAGAACATCTGCTTCATGCCAGGCACATCTCTAGGCACTGAGAAATACAATAATGAGAAAGTTCTGCAAAGTCCTTCCCCTCATTGACTCTCTTCTCAGTCAGGAGAGACAAACAATAAATAAAACAAGTGAATAAGCCAGAAAACACCTGATGGTACTCCAGACTATGCAGATAATTAAAACATGGTAGTATCTCTCTTTTTTTTTTTTTTTCGATCGAGTCTTGTTCTGTTGCCCAGGCTGGAGTGTGGTGGTGCGATCTTGGCTCACTACAACCACTGCCTCCTGGGTCCAGGCAATTCTGCTGCCTCAGCCTCCTGAGTAGCTGGGATTACAGGCACGCGCCACCACACCTGGCTAATTTTTTGTATTTTTAATAGAGTTGGGGTTTCACCATGTTAGCCAGGATGATCTTGATCTCCTGACCTTGTGATCAGCCCACCTCAGCCTCCCAAAATGCTGGGATTACAGGCATGAGCCACTGCGCCCAGCTGACAGTATCTTAATGGTTCATTCCAATAGTCAGATGACATATCAACACATTTTCTGTACTCTGCCATCTTAAAATTCATTGGTCTATGAAACCCTTGGAAGGAATGTTTTACCCACACATGATTTTGTAACATAAAAAGTTGATCATTTGGAAATGATTGGTTCACTGTGTTATGCAGATCTTCCAAATGTTGACACAATTTGTTATATAATATCAAAATATCAAAACTAATAACATTACCATGATCTCATCAGAAAGTCTTCATGTATTGGTAAACTGTCAAGTTCGTGGTGATGGATAGAAGTTTTCTAAAATTCCATTTTTTCTTGAAAATTTCAATTTTATTATTTATAATAAACACCATCAGTTGTAATCATAGGAGTGATAGGCTCCTTTCTCTCTAAGAAATTGTCTGACAAATAGAAAAGGCTGCATGTCATCAATTTTTTAGGTAGCCATTCTTTTAAGAAAAAAATGGAATTTCCTGAAAAAAAAGCAGCTGGCTGAACTTGCAACTCAAGCAAGCATAGGCATCCTCTGCTTGAAGACAGCCAGCCATGCTGCTCAGGAGGCAGAGGAAACACTGTGCCTTCTTCCCATTTTATTACACAGGGCATAGAACGTTAAAAATAACACGAGCTTCAGGGCAAAGATTTAATAAAACTGTGATTTTTGTTGCTTCATCAAGTGTCTGCAAATGAATCTGGCGTTTTTTAAGAACAAACTTAGAGTATGCATTAGTAAACAGTACGATGAGCACCTGTCATGTTACTGTCACTGCTGGGACTCGTGCTAAGGCCCAGCAGTCTCACTCACCATTGCCTTTGCTCCGACACTGCAAATATCAACACCATGAGAAAGGCAAACAGCATCTTAGCCTTGTCAGGAAAATGATTTTTCTTCTTACAAATCACCTAAAATGGTCTCAGGGATCCCTAGAGCTCTGTGAGCTACATTTTGAAAATATCTAATACAGTGCTAAAAATGTAGTTTATTTCTAATGTTTGACCATTACAAATGATGCATCAAATGAGCTTCTTTATGCACTGGCCTTTGTCTGATTTTAAGATTATTTTTTTCAAGAAAAATTTCCAAAAGTATGACCATTGGATAAATAGATATAATATTTAAATGTAATTTTTAGGAGACATTAATTTAAACAAAGGCCATTTGAATCATTAACTTTTATTCTTTAAATTTGCCAGACCAATATAAATCAGTGTATTCATCTTGATCCTCTTGAAGTGACAGAAACCAACTCAAACTAGCTTATGCCCAAAAGAATAATTTATTGTCTCTTGTAAACCATATACCTATGATTTTAGAAAATAATTCAGTCGAATAATTTTGTCTGCAAGAGCTTCTTCTAAACATCTATCATACAGTATAAAACTTGTCACCTCTTTCGTAAGTACTCGCAAACAAAAGAAGGAAAATATTATTCTATGTGGTATTTCATTGTAATTGTCTGGAGACAAATAGCAGTTGTTGGGATTTGGGGCTTGCAAAATTTATCAGAGTGGTCAGGAAAGGCTGCCTTGAAAATGTGAGATTCTAAGCAAAGAGGTGGAGGGGTTCAAAACAGCTCATGGCTATCTGGGGGAGGAACTTCCTAAGCAAAAGGAAAAGATAGAGCTACAGTATCTAGAATATGCCTGGCAAGTTCGAGGAATAATAGAGAGGCTGGTGTGGCAGGGACCAAGTGAGCGAAAAAAAACCTCAGAAGAAGCAGAGCCTTTTCATGGGGGACTTACTAGATCAGGACTTGGGTTTTCAGGACATGGGGTTTTCTGAGATGGGGGCTTTATTGGGTGACTTTAAATAGAAAAGTCACATGGTCAGACTGAGGTTTTAAAAGGTTTTAGCCAGGCATGGTGGGATAAGCCTGTAGTTCAGCTACTCCAGAGGCTGAGATAGGAGAATACTTTCAGTCCAGTAGTTTGAGATTGTGGTGCACTATATTTCCACCTGTGAATAGCCACTGCATTCCAGCCTGGGCAACATAATGAGACCCCATCTCTAAAAAAGAAGAATAAGCATGCATCTGATTCCTGTGCTAAGGATGCATCTGATTCCTGTGCTAAGAATGATCTATGTGGGGAAAGAGGGCAAGTAGAATGACCTGTTGGAAAGTGAATCCAGGTGAGAGATGATGGCAGCTTGGACCAGGGGGGAGCAGAGGAGTTGGTGCATAGAAGACATGTTCTAGATCTATTTTGAAGGTCTATTCAATTGGTTTACATAGTGGTTGGATACAAGTGTGAGAAAAATAAAGACACCAAGTACCAGGTCAGGCTTCTGGCCTGAGTGGCAGGAAGAATGGCATTGCTTTCTCCTGAGTCACCAGAAGTTGCCGTGGGGAGGTTTGAGAAAGGCAATTGTCTAGTTATCAATGTGTAGACGTTGAAATATACACTAAACAAATAAGTGGATGCTCTCGGGAGGAAATTAGATATGAGAGAGTGGAGCTCAGGAATCTGGGCTGCAGATCTGGTGACATCAGTGAATAGACGATGCTCAACACCATGGCCTGGATGGGACCTTCAGGGGACTCTCTGTGCCACACTGCAGATTTTTACTTCATGTGGACAGACTTCTCCAGCCCTCAGTCAGGCTCACATTAGAACCTTTCACCAAATATCTGAAGATAAAGTCTGACAAAAATTCAAACAAGGACTGTGTGAAATGTAAGTTTTTCCCTTTTTAGATTTCCCAGATTGGCACAGATCCATGTATTTACTATGACTCTATTGGTTGCAAGGTGTAAGAACCCAAATTACCTCTGCTTAAGCAGCCAAGTGAAGAGGTGCACAACTGTAATCCCAGTTATTGGGAGGCCTAGGTGTGATGTGGTACACAAGTGCAGTTCCAGCTACTCCAGAGACTGATGTAAGAGGATGGCTTGAGGCCAGGAGCGTGAGGCTGCGGTGAACTGCTTCCAATACACAGTAGTAATTATACACCATTCACAGTCTTATCCTTTACTCAGATCTTAGGTCTTAAGCTAATTGACTTCTGAACATTTAAATTTACACTTTAAAATATTTTAATCTCAACACTTTGGTAAACCGAGGCAGGAGGATCACTTGAGGCCAGGAGTTTGATATCAACCTGGCCAGCATGGCAAAACCCAGTCTTTACTAAAAATACAAAAATTAGCCAGGTATGGTGGCACACATCTGTAATCCTAGCTACTCAGTTGGCTGAGGAGGGAGGATGGCTTGAACTCAGGAGGCAGAGGTTGCAGTGAGCCAATATAGCACCACTGCACTCCAGCCTGGGT